TCATGGCATCCGGTCCTCTCACTTCCTGCCATGAGAGTGGTATCATCTGCATATCTGAGGTTGTTGATATTTCTCTCAGCAATCTTAATTCCAACTGGTGATTCATCTAGGCCCACCTTTCTCATGATGTGCTCTGCATATAAGTTAAATAGGCAGGGCGACAGTATACAGCCTTGCCAAACTCTTTTCTCAGTTTTGAACCAGTCAGTGGTTCCGTGTCCAGTTCTCACTGTTGCTTCTTGACACACATATAGGTTTCTCAAGAGACAAATAAGATGGTCTGGTACACCCATCTCTTTAAGAACTTGCCACAATTTGTTGTGATCCACACAATCAAAGGCTTTAGCATAGTCAATGAAGCAGAAGTAGATGTTTTTCTGGAACTCTCTAGCTTTCTCCATGATCCAGCATATGTTGGCAATTTGATCTCTAGTTCCTCTGCCTCTTTGAAATCCTGCCTGTACTTCTGGTAGTTCTCAATCCACATACTGCTGGAGCCTAGCTTGCAGGATTTTGAGCATAACTTTGCTAGCATGTGAAATGAGTGCAATGGTGCGGTAGTTTGAACATTCTTTGGCATTGCCCTTTGGGATCGGAATGTAAACTGACCTTTTCCAATCCTGTGGCCACTGCTGAGTTTTCCAAATTTGCTGGCATATAGAGTGTAGCACTTTTACTGCATCGTTTTTTAGGATTTTGAATAGTTCAGCTGGAATACTGTCGCCTCCACTAGCTTTGTTGTTGCTCAGACTTCCGAAGGCCCATTTGACTTCACATTCCAGGATGTCTGGCTCAAGATCAGTGACAACCCCAGCGTGGTTATCAGGGACGTTAAGCTCTTCCTTGTATAGTTCCTCTGTGTAATCTTGCCACCTCTTCTTAATCTCTTCTGCCACTGTTAGGTCCCTGCCATTTTGGTCCTTTATCATGCCCATCTTTGCATGAAATGTTCCCTTCATATCTCCAATTTTCTTGAAGAGATCTCTGGTTCTCCCTATTCTATTGTTTTTTTTTTCTATTTCTTTGCACTTTTCATTTAAGAAGGCCTTCTTATCTCTTCTAGCTGTTCTCTGGAATTCTGCATTCAATTGTTTGTATCTTTCTCTTTCTCCCTTGCTTTTCGCTTCCCTTCTTTGCTCAGCTATTTGTAAAGCTTCCTCAGACAGCCATTTTGCTTTCTTGCATTTCTTTTTCTTTGGGATGGTTTTAGTTGCTGCCTCTTGTACAATGTTGCGAACCTCCGTCCATAGTTCTTCAGGCACTCTGTCTATCAGATCTAATTCCTTAAATCTATTTGTCACCTCTACTGTATATTCATCAGGGATATATTTAGGTCATACCTGAGTGGCCTAGTGCATTTCCGATACGTTATTTCAATTATTTGTACACTGTTCTGAGAGTTTATGCCGGTCTATAAAAACCTGTAATAAACCACTCCCAATTCTGGAAAGCCACAAGCTTCAAAAAAATCTTAAGACAATCCATTTGTTATAAAAAGTAGCTTTTGACATTGTTGGAATGTTCATTACACACTATACATAGGAAAGTGTGTTATTGCTTATCGGTGTATGATTTTTGTAATGTGCATGATAAGATGCAGAGAAACCTGGACTGCTCCCTCTGGGATGCCCTTCCCAAAGAAATGGACCTTTAGAAACAAGAACGACTCCAAGCAAATGTCATATTAATCAAAAACAGCACGGTTTCTCTTTTTTTTACTGTTGTCACACAGAATCCTGGCAATTACAGTTTAGTGACAAGTGCTGAGAATCCTTTGTTAGAATTCTAACATGAAGCCCATGTCCTATCGGGCCTTCATGTTAGAAATGAACATGAAGGAGCTGCGGGAGGGGCCAGCAGCAACAGGACTGCCATCTTCGGGGCCTGTCCCATCAACAGACATTCTCTTTGGAGCTGCGACTGGCCTGCACGCTCTCCGCACTCAGGAAGGGGGTCAAGATACCTCTTTTGACTTTTCAGAGCAAGGAGGAGCAGCGCCAGGCACGCGGGGCCAGCTCACTGAACCATGCCTGTGCCAGCAAGAGGGCTGCAGAACCAGGTCCGGGTTCAGGCTGCATACTGGACCACCCCATCTAAATAAATTGCTGTTTGGCTCCCTAGACTAGTTTCATTAGGAGTGGATCCCTCACGTTTAGTCCAGTAACCCATCTTTACTGGATTTGTGGGTCTCACAATCCCATAAATAGGTGAACCCTCTTGGATTCAAGCCATCCAGTCAGGTAACCAAAGATTTTTCCCTCTCTCAGACCTTCTTTCCTGCAGGAAAGTCAGATTCCCTGTTCTGATTATTTTGATGGTGATTTGCAAGTCTGTCTGCATGACTGTTGCCTTCCCTTTTCATGCCTCTTGCTCCCTTCCCAAGTAATACATTTATGTTTGTACCCTGACATTTGCCTGCCCAAGCAGTTGCCAGGCCAGGGAAAGGAAGGGTAAGCAATTTCAAGCCTCCAGAGTTCAGCCAACAGCCTTCATCATCCCCAGCCTTGGCTCTGTGGGCTAGTGATGGGGAAAGTTGCAGGTCTGATACCTGGAAGCCTACAAGAGCCTCACCCAGAACTCGGGTGCATAAGGGCAGAGGTATCAGATGTTCAGTTCTGGGGGGTCCTTACAAAGTTTGGCAGTACAGAACCCTCCCCATTCGTTCCTCCTCACTTCGTGGCAAGACAGGCATCCAAAGGAAAGGGATGCATCCTTTCACTTGCTGTACTGCGGGGCTCTGAACCTGCAGCATCACGTTAAAAGGGGGAATCACGGATGGGAACCTTTTCCCCAGACTGTATTCAGAGGGAAGGCCCTGGGACATCACTTGCCCTCAGAGACGGCATCAGCTAGCCAGAGGTGATGAGCTGCTTGGCATCTTCTTCCTTCCTCCTGACTGACTAAGCTTCTGATTGAGTGGGATTACATTGATTGAGCAAGAAACAATTAAAAGCAGGAAATGGTGACAAAGCAGTAACAGGCACAAAAGAGAGAGAAGCAAGAGACTGAAAGGCCATTTTAACTCCCCTGGAAAGCATATTTTTCATGCTGAGGCACACGTGTGGGGTCTCCCTGAACTAAAATATAGTTGGATCACAATTCTGCAGAAATAGCCCAGGATGGAATGTTGCAGGAGGAACTGGAATGTGAATTTCCAGGACAGCCTCATAAGGGAAGTCTAACATGCCAGGAAGCTCACATGGCCTGTATGGATGTGCCCCCGAGGCCTCTCTCTGGCGGACATTCACCCCATTTATATCAGTCCAAGCCCTCCCTGCATCACCTACCATTCATCCCAACGAGGAGGAGAAACCTGTTCACTCGCTCAGCCTCCGTGTAGGACGTAACTGCAGGCAGTTTCTGATCGGCCGCGTACTGCAAAAGATCCTTGACGTCAGCCAGCCCAGGGGGCATGTGCTGCGTCACGGTCAAAGGCAGGTCCACGTCTGTGCTGCTGACGACGACTTTGTGCGAAGCCTGGAAGGAAGCAAGAGCCCCGATGACGAGTGCAGAGCACAGGGATGGAGAGGAGCAGCGAGCAGCCCCACAAGAGGAGGGCAGTGAGCAGGCAGGCCCCAGGAAAGGCCACCCAGCGTCACCACGGGGAGCAGCCTTGTGGCACGGAAAGGCCGAACACGGACGGCCGCACCCCTGGCTCACTTTCGTTGCTCCCAGCCGGAGGAGCAGGTGGCTCCTGTGGGAATGAGGATGAGAAGAAGCTGCCCCCCTCTGTCCACCCCATCATGGGGTCGGTATGGGCCTTTCTCGGCATGGGGGCAGTGCCAGTTGGCCCGGAGCACGCGGGTCTTGCCCGTACCAGGACATGCAGCTGGCCAGTGAGGTGCTGTGCCTGGACCATCCACTGGGCGGGCCCTTCACTCTTCAGTATCAAGAACAGCCCCCGGCGGCGGGACCGTCCGGCCGCGTGAAGCTCCACCGTCAAGCGGGCCAAGTTGGGCCTAGGAGAGAGCACACGGCCAAGCTCACCTCTGGCCTCAGACCAGCAGACCGAGCACCAAAGTAGGGAAAGGGAGCCAGGCCCCAAGCAGAGCTGAGATGCCCCAGCCCACCCACCCCCCCCAGCACAGGTCCCCACAGCACTCAAAGCCCACTGCCCCACTGCTGGCTGATGCCCCTCAGATCCGACCCAGAAGCTCTGCTGTGCCAGCACCACCTGCTTCCCCTCAGCTCATGCTCCAGGTCGGCATCACACTAATTTTAAGACAAGCATTGCACTAAGCAGTTCCTCGTACACATTTCCCAACTGATGTGGGTCTGCAACCGGCCCCTTCAACCCCAGGAGCAACCTCGACCCACCACAAGCCTTCCTTCCTGGCAGGGCTGGCTGCCATGCTTCTGCTTGCCGGGCACTCACACACCCAAGCCCAAGTTTCGGCAATGCCCAGGCAGACACCTCGGGGCAGCTCCTTTAGAAAGGATGATGTGGACTTCAAGGTCTTGGGGAGGGTCAGAATTCAGACAGACTTTCAGAGGCTGGCGGTGGCGCTCAGAGGCAAAGTGCATCGCTGTGAAGAAGTGCCTACGCAACCTGCAAGTGGCCGGTGCGGTGCCATCTGGAGGAGAAAAGACGGCAGTGAAGACTGCGGTGCTGTCACTGGCACAGCGTCACCCATGGGAAAGCTGCCATGACCACCAAATCAATATCTACATTTCCTCGGTCCGGGGGCAAAACACACCTTGGTTATCTGGACTGGGCAAAGGCTCTCCCACTGCTCCCGGTGTTGCGCTCCATTTCATGCACATTCCATTTTTTGTCCATGATGGAGCTCAAGGTAGCGGACTTAGACTTTCCTGGAGGTCTCACATCCAAACAGCGGCCGGACCCAAACGGGCATGGCTTCCGCAGGGTTCGTTCCACCAGACCATACCCTGCGACCTGGGCCTGCGTTGACTGTGGAAGGGCAGCCCAAGCCCTTCCCCAGTCACTGCCAGAAACCACCAAGTCAAACAGCCAAGCCTTCCTTCTTGTCGCCTTCCTGACTGGGCTGCCCTCCCCGCTCCCCCACCCAGGAGAGATCCTTTCCCCCTGCAGGCTTAAGGGACTGTGAGCTAGTCCAGGTATTCAGCTGTGCAGAAAGTTTTTTTGAGAGCTCCATAAGCCACGGAGGCCCATCTAGACACGCGGAAGCACCCCCTGCCATCATTTCCCCAGACTGTGGGATGGGCTCCTGCAGGAACTATTGTCGACTGTGAAGATGCCTCCTTCCCAATCAGCCCCACTCCCCTTGGCCCACAGAAGGGGGGCAAAGATTAGATTAGCCTGTTAAAATACATTTGTTTTCTGCCCCCCCCCCTGCTCCTGTCAGAGCCGATCCCTCCCCTCCTTGCTCATACCAGCCCCCAGGTGCAGGTAGACTGTATTGACTCCACGGTACTCGGCCAGGGAGGTGACGCCACCATGCTTCCTCCGCGCCCACTTCAGCAGCTCTCGGGGCGTCTCCAGGAACTCAGCCTCAGAAGAAGCCACTGGCCCAGCGGCGGAGACCCTGGAGCCAGGGGAGACCTGCAGCCAGGAGGAAGGCTATGAGATGGTTGCCTGGAGGGCCCGACCCCTCTTTGAGACCCCAGGCTGGGGGAGGCCTATGGAGAAGCAGGGCTGGGCTTCAACCTGGGGGATCTGGTTTCAAGTTCCACCTCAGCCATAGACTCACTGGGTGGCCCTAGATAAGCTGTTCCTGGCCTCCATTTCCCTCATCTGTAAAACGGGAATAATAGTAACTTACTACACAAAATGATTCTAAGAACAGTTAGGTGAAAAAGTACTCTGGACACGCTAAAGGTGCTATGCAGCTCAAGAACAGGATCCTCTACCCTTCCTTCCCCCCCACAGCATGCTGCTGTGGCCCAGACTTTGTCTGCAGAGGTAGGGGACACCCACTGTCCCCCAGCCTTGCTCATCTTCCTGATGTTCTGCAGGTTCCTTGGCCCAAGTTCCAGGCTCACCTGGAATGTCCAATTTGCTCCAGGGGGAGACGGCAGCATCCAACTCACAGGTTCTGGGGAATGCAGCACAAAGATGGGTGCTCTGTCTAGGGGAACTGCATCCAGCACAAGAGTGACCTGAAATTGGGAGGTGAACATTCAGTAGATAGTCCAAGCAGTGGCAGGGGGCAGGGATGGGGGCAGAGGAAGGGAAGTGGAGGAGAGAGACGAGGTGAAGCAAGCTGTTCAACAGAAGGGGGCACGGGAAGGGATTCTGGGGCCTACATTAAGTACTCAGGTCAGCATCAGAGCAAAAGAGGCCAAGTTCAGGACGCTCCTCTGTTGCTTCAACATATTCATTCCTAGCCCTTTTGTGACTTGGAGGGATTGCCTGATGGCCACAAGCTGCCATGGAAGGCCGGCATTGTTTCAGGCTCAGCTGTCAGAATCTTGCCGTAATGCCTGGGACGTCTCTGCCTGCAGTGCTATCTAGGCAGGGAGGCCTGGCTGCCTAACGAACTGGAGCGAGGACTCCCATGTGACTCGCCATGGAAAGGGCTCTGCATTACACTGGGGCCATGGAAGTTCAGGCCCGGGGGACAGATCCAGGCCCAGAAGGCCACACTTCAGCCATTTCCCCAACCGGTCATTTGTGGTTCCCTGGCTTTCCTGCCATTTCCCCCTGCATTAGAGAAGGTTGAAACGGCTCTCCAAATCGTCGTCTCTGGCAGGCAGAGCTTTCTGCTGAAATATGCTGGGACTTCTGGCCCCACCCCTCTGCCTCGGCCATTCCCCAGCTGCCTTTCGCTGGCCACTGGAATGCAGCGCTGGAGAGCTTTCCTGCAGGGGGATTCCGCCCTCGGGCTCAGGGGCTCCGCACCCGGCAGCACCTTCCCTGAGAAGGCACCTGCCCTGTACCTGGCCCCTGGCTGGCACTCCCCTGCGCAGGCTGACGGCGTGCACGTCTCGCCCCGTGGCAGAGCGCTCCCGGCTGCTGCATCCGATGCCTCTCCGCAGCAGCTCCCAGAAGCCCAGCACAGGCTGGGGGGCGGTGGCGGTTGTGGGGAGACAAGTGGGAGGGTGCCAGGCAGCTGCAGAGGAAGGAAAACAACGTTGGGTTCAGCAGAAGAGAGGCTGGCAGGGATCTGCTTTCCACTTTGCAGAGTCTGCGTCTGGACAACACGCAACACCTGTCACTGAGCCGTAGCTCCCCAAGTCAATTTTATGCTAAACTTTACTAGTGGGATGTGCAACATGAAGTTGCAGTGTACCCGCACCCCTGACAGAAGTGCCCCTGGCCGGAGTTCCAGCCAGCCAGCCGTGCGCCTCCCTCCAGGAGATCCCGAACGATAAGAGGTGCAGCCAGGCTACGTCCCCCTCCCCTGCCTCGGGTTTTCTTTTCCAGCTGCCACTCTCCTGCTTTCTTCTCAGCAGGTATATTCAGGGTGAGAGGTTGCCCCCTTTTGCGTTTGAACTTTTACATAACTACGGTTCGAGACTTCACTCTTTTTTCCCCCTCAATGACGGCATTTTGGCTCCAGTCCTGTTGGCACTCAGCTATCTTGGTTAAATAAATGTGTTGCCTGCTTTAACTATTGATTAAACAATTATTTCAATGATTGTAAATAATCCTAACCTTTTCGGGAGGCTGCGGGGAGAGATGGCATATGAATAAAATCGGTTCGCTTTCCCCTGCTTCTGCTCATCGTTTAACATGAGACAGGCAGGTTGACCTATATGCGGACGCCCTGCACATCACCATATACAGGGGCGTCACTTCTTCCTTATGGCAGGGTGCACAACCTGTGGCTTTCCAGCCTTGGCACCCCCCCCCCCATCTCTCTCGTTCCTGGAGGAGAGCGGCAGGCTGAAACATCTGGAAAGTCACACGCTGCCACGGCTGTGCTTTCTTCCCTAACTTGCTGCTCTCCACGTGTGTTGGATTATGACTCCCAACGTACTGCAGGCAGGTAAGCTGCATACTGGGGAAGGCACACCTAGCCACCAGGTTAGATGCTTCCTGCCATGCGGCACAAGGTGAGCCTCTAGCTAAGAAGCAAACTGATGTGAGAACAGAAGGTGGCCCTGAGGTGGCAGAACAGTGCAGAAGCTGGGCTCAGGGAGAGGGAATCGGCCCTCCATAAATAACGTTTCATGCAAAAAGCCAGCCAGCACAGCAAGGAACAGGCTGGTCTAGTCTCTTCCTCCCCAGTCCCTGCAATATCACTCACAGAGATTTTTTTTACACAAGCGAACACGATGAAGGACAAGGCTGCCTGAAACAGTACAGTCCCTTCTGGCACCTGAGGACACTACCCTCCCATTTCCGCTGCTTGCAGCGACACTCACTGGCTGATGTCTGGAAAATGATGTTTGCTTATTGTGGAAAATATGCCAAAGGAAGCATATGCCTTTCCCTAATCCATCGGGGCAGAAATTATGTCCTTGAGATAGCCATGCAAGTCCAGGACTCTGGAAGGCATTCGCTGTTGCCTCACCATCAATGTGGCAGGAACTGAAGGCTCTCCGGCAGTATCTCCAGCACCACCCACGGGAACAAGCTACCCCTTGGCAGCCCACGTCTGCCGTACGGTAATCAAGGTTGAAGCCAAATGCCAAGTGCGGAGTGAGAGCTGTCACATACTCTTCTCTTACATGCACTTGACTATCGAGGAAGACATTCAGAGATTAGACTGCGCATAACATGAGCAGATACAAGAAACCTGGTGAAACCCAAGCCCTGCACTGTTGCTTACTCAAAGAAGCAGGATCACAGGGCTAGAACCAAGAGAAGCCCCCGCAGAACAAAGAGAGAGCCCCTTCGTACCAGTTAAAAGCATTTCCACCTTTTGGCAACCACGCCAGCCTGTCCCACTGCATGGCCAGAACATTTGATCAGCTTAGTGGTGCCACTTGGGCTGTCAGGGCATGGAGGCATTAAGCAAAACCAGAAGTCCTGCTCAGAAATACATATATTATTAACACCTCCAAGGCTGCAAAGCAAAATATATTTTAGAGTTGCGGTAATTCTTTGAATATATCCAGGATATCTACAGTGTTCGGTACACAGGACTCTCCCTTCCTCCCTCTCTCTCTCACACACACACATTTTGTTGCAAAATGGTAATCAAGCATGCCAAAGGCATACTTAGGACACATTCCACTGAATTTGTTAGACGTATCACCACGTGCTGGACAGAGCTGCAGAAGCCACCGAGGAAAAGCCACAGCGGAGAGATCACATTTGGCTGCCACCCTTGACCCCCGCCCTGGCATCTGCACCAGCCCCAAGAAATTGTGCACGCAGAACAACAGCAGTGCAGCAGCCCAGCTTTTACCTGCTCCGGTGCAGCCCCAAAGGACAAGCAGCAGCAGGTGGCATCTCCCCAGGTGAGCTTTAGGCTGGCGTGTCCCCCACATGGCTCCCCCACGTCCAGAGCAGGGCTGCAGCCCTTCCCCAGTCCCACCCTAAGGAGGAAAACAAAACGAGGGTGAGAGAGCAGCGAACGGAAGGGAATGCTGCTCCAGGACCTTAGAGCTCCTTGGAAACACTCTCTGAGCAAGTCAACTTAATTTCTTGTCCAGATTTCAGCATAGGATGCCAAGTTTCCTCCCCACTCTGCCCTATCTAGTACAGACACATGCAAACCACACTACCAAACAAAAAACAAAACCTTTCATACAGATTCATTACTGCACAGACTGCTGTAACCATCCCGCCATAGGCACACGCGCAGCAATTAAAAAGGGTCGCAATTTCAGCACATCTGGGTGCAGTGGGGAGTATTTCCTGATCTAGTGACTAAGCACCCGTCACAGGGGAGGATAAATAGCTTTTCCAGGTGGACACGACATGGGTAAAGCCTCATCACCCACCCCAGCGTCTCTGCAATCTGCTCTCTTCCATGAGCACCCAAAGCTGCCTTCTGAGAGGGAGGCCATTTGTCCCTCCTGCTCGGCAGTGCGGGGCCTCCCCCTTGGGGGGCAACTCGTCTCCGAGGCTCCGGGGCAATGGCCTTTCCAACACCAGCAGGGAGCAATCGGGCACGGGACCTTCCTGCATGCCCCATGGGGGTTTCACCACTGAGTCGTGCTCCCCCGACGCCGCTCCAGTGCTGCACAGCTGGCGACAGGCCACAGCTCAGTGGCACCAAGCACAGTCTGCATGTGAAAGGTCCCCGGTTCAGCCCTGGGCATCACCAGGAAGGAGGAGCAGCAAGCTGGAGGAACTGGCCGCCTGGCTCAGTGGAAAGCTGCCTTCTGTGTTTATTGATCAAGCCTGCATTCCCTCTTCACTCAACTGTCCCCAGGTATTTGTCCATCGATATCCCCTCCCACCCCCCTTTCGGAGCTGCTTTCTGGAGCATGGTTCTAATTTTGGAATAAAAATACCAAAATGGCACGACTTGGGGTTAAGAAAAACTAGCACCAGCCATGCCAAACAAGCAATAAACCGAACAGGGCTCAGTTTGCAAACTCCACAAGATGGAATGGATGGCAAGAAAAGACTCACCTTGCCGGCTGCAGCTGCTCCGGTATGGCGTGATCCAGATGCTGCTTAGGAGGAGAATTAACGAGACAAACGGCTACCTGAGCTGACGAGCAGGAAAGAAGTGGGAGGCCTCACGTGACTCCATGGGATGCACAGGGCAGAGGCACTGCTGCACCTCTCCATGTCCCTACCCTGACACGGATTAGCAGACAATGATAAAAAAAATGATACAGGTCTATGCAAGGTTAAAAATAACCATAGGCCCATGTGAGGGTCAAGTTACAAGTGAGAGGGTGGGGAGGCTACATGGATTAGGTGGCAGGCAGCTGTTGATTCCTCAGGGAAATCCGCGGTGGAGGAAAGATGTTCGAGACACCAGGAGCAGGCAGCTGCCAGAGCAGCACCCAGGCACTTGTGTCCCTTCTCCTCCCTCCCTGGATTTCTAGGCCCTCCCACCACTGGTGGCGGCTCCATCCCTCTGTGTCCTGCCCCATCCTGCTCGAGTGCCTGGGGGCTGAGAGCCACCAGCCCAGTGACCCCCCCCCCGCAATGATGCCCCACAAGACAAGAAACATTCGGCAGGCCCTTGGGTTGCCAAGGAGATGGGTGGATTTATGATTAACACCTGCAGAGGAAGAGGCTTCCTGAGAGGCACTGGCAGGTATGCTCAGCCTATGCTGTGTTGCACTTGGGGTCAGCGTGACCTGCTGCCACCCCTGTGAGGTCGGGTTTGGAAGGAGGCATTCCAAGAACAGGCCTGGTTTTAATGGATCACTGGTTGGGGACAGAGAAACAGCAGCAAGGGGAGGGATTTTCAAGTGGCAGCAAATAAAAGAGGTATTGCCCTTCTGCACTCTTTACACCTTTCCCAGAACTTTGGGATATACTCCAGTTCCTCAAGGAAAGGATCAGGCCTCCCTAGGGAGGGATAAGCCGTTTTGATATAGGAGATAGATCCACGGCCAAATGGCAAGCGAACAGCAGGCCTAAGAAGGCCTTCCTTGCAAGCCCTCCAGAGACTTTTTCAGTAATGGACATAGAAAATTTTTAAATAAGTAGGTCTGGCTTGTCACAGCCCCCACAAAATGTTCTGCAGCATCAGAGGATGGATGGGAAACATGCAGCCCTCCATACGGGACTGATGGTGTCCCATATCCTCCAGAGGACCAGAGGATCTCCCCCCACCCTTATCAACAAATAAATCTGTTGCAGAACAGGCTTTCAGGAGTACAGGAGTGGCATGGAAGGCTCCCCCTCATAGGAAGGCAGTGCTTGGGTCTTATCAAGAAATTGGGGTGTCAGACGGTCTGGAAAAGTGACTGCACATGTGGACCTTCAATGCTCCACCTGCTTGGTTGGCAACTGGAGAAAGGCAGTGGTCATCCAACTCTCAAAATGCAGTGTTGCTGTTTTCTAGATGAGAATCTCAAGTATTCATCCTACATACCCTTCTGATAGCCCAGCTTCTAATCAGCCACACTGCTTTCCGAAATGGGCATGTGCATTTTGACCTGCACTTGTGCATCCCTGCCACTCTTGAGGCATCAGTCCTTCAGAAGTCCTGTTTCCATTCCTGGGAAACTTGGTTCAAATGGTAGCTGCCTAGCAAGAGCAGCAAAGTTTGTTTTGTTTTGACCACTTTTGACAAGGAACTGTGCAGTGGTTCTGGTTAAGACACAGTGGGTCACGTCATCGGAGTACGGACAACAGGACAACCCTTTCTGAGTCAAGCAAAGCCTGCCACAGGCCATGGCTCATCAGGGTGGCTTATAGGTCAAGCTTCAGACACTCTGACTGGGCCATTGCAGAATCAGATGACTGGCTAAGCCACTGCGGTTCAGTATGCAAATGTGGTTTAGAGAAGCAAATCCAGTCCAGGTCCATTCTGCAGTTGCTTATGCAGAATACAGCTGGGAAGGCAGACTTCTCTTTCACAATAAGATCTCCCTGTAGTATTTCTCCCAGGACTATACAATACAGAGCCAGATTTACTTTTGCCCCCACCCCACCCCACCCCATGCAAACATTGGCCATTCAGTCCCCCTGTTCAGTCCACCCATTTTCTAGAGTCTGCAGTCAGTCCCTTCTGGTATGCATTTTTTTAAAAATAAGTTTTGTTGTTATTTTCTACTAACAAAACTAACAGGAAAAAAACACTAAAAATCCTCAATCATCAAAAACATCAGACCTACTGGGTCAGCCCCCCAAACATTTTCTTTTTATGGCAATCCATAAACATATTTAAATCTATGCATAGTCCCATTTCTCTAGCCAATAATAAAAGGAATTCCAAGTTTGATAGCAGTCTGTACCTTCTTTCTCCTTCAGAGACACCTGGTATGCATTTCTTGACCAGCAGATGGCTGGGGCTAAAGGAACCTTCCCCACCCCAATGCTTTCAAGATGCAGCTTCAGCATTTCTTAGAAATGGGCATGCTGGCCGAGGCTTTGCAAAAACCAATCAGAGCCAGCTGCCACAATCTACATTACTATTTACACTAGGGGAACTCAGAGTAGTGTTTTAATCCAACTAACCACCCTGTGTAGTGAGACTAAGGTTGCGACTTCTCGAGATGGCCATGTGAGAGTCACAGCTCCTATTTTGTGGCTGTGATGCCGCCCTCCCCAGCATGTTCCCTTCCGAGTTTTGTATGGTATTTTCCACAATTGACCACTGGTCATACTAGTTGGGGCTGACAGGAGTTGAAGCCCAAAACATCTGTAGGGAGACCACTGCAGCAAAATGGTTACCCCAACAGGTCCTTGATCTACTTGGCATCATTAGTATGCTACAAATCAATATTGAGCTTTCAAAGATGAAGCCAATGCCTACAAGCATCATGAAGGAGCAGGCCAGTGGATTGGCTCAAGCACTTTGAGCAGCTTTTAAATAAGCATGCCAGCATAGTTCTACTGATTGAGAAAGGGACATCTATTGGCACTGGTGTATGTCATGAAGGGCATATTGGTGAAGTAAAATCAGTTAATCTGTAAATAGCCCTTCAGGCCACAAAAGTATAAAGTACATAACACAAAGCAGGTGTTCAATAAATACTAGCAGTCTGGTAATGGAAGGTGTCACCAAGCAAGGTTTAAGGTCCTGATGCAGAGCTGAACTCCAAGAATAGACTGCATACACCAGGCTTACAAGCTTTTCAATAGATCAAGCCATCGAACAGGGCATTTAAAGTAAACCCCATTCAAGGGCACTGCTGCCTTGCAGCTGCCAGAACAAGGGGAAGAACTGTGTGATCTTGACACCTGATCCTTCGTTGCCAGCACACCAGCCATGTTCCCAGAGTTGTCTGATACTGGGATGTGGGCGAGCTGGATACAGGAGGCAGACACATCACTGAAAGCAGTTACAGGCACACACCAGCTGCACAGCATCGGAGAGTCCAGAAATGAAAGCGCTTGGGACCTAGTTGGCACTCAAACGCATTGACGTCCCACTGCTGCTGGTATCATAAGCAAGCAAGGTTTTCAGGGTAACTGTGGAGATTCCTGACATCCTGCCCACCCTGCCAATCTCTTCTCAATATTGGCTGCAATACACAGCAGGGTAGCAATGACGATTCCTGCCATTCTTAAAGTAAGTCAGAAACAGAACACCAAGTATAAGACAGCTAGAAAGAGCCACTGGCCATGCCCCATGTGGAAAGATGAATGCATGGATGTCTCACGTTGCCTCCAGGTTGCTTTGTGCTTTGCAATTTCAGCATGTAGGATGTGAACACAGGGAACAGGGAATGGTCTGAGTGGCAAGGGCTCAAGACCAACAGCACATGGCAAACATTTTCGCCCTAGTAGTTCTTGCAGTCCGTGCAGCCCACAAAATGGAAAGACACAAACACTTAGGGAAAGAAAGATTTATTTTTAAGCTTCTATGAGGGTTTTTACAAACAGAGTAAAAAAAAGCTTTTCAAAAATAATGAAGAATGCCATTTACTTTACACTACTGTAGGTGTGTTTTAAGTTCCACTGAAATTGACCAGACTGACCTCACTACTTGGGAGGCAGGCAACTACTTCTGACAAGCTGTTTGGACTACTGGTGAGTAGGGGAGGCGCTAACTAGGAGAGGGAAATCCCTGTTCTAAGACTTCACACATGCCAAGTAATGGGCAGTGGGGCTTGGGTCAGTGAGCACCCCCCCCCCCAGGAATGGCTAGCACACAGTACATGGAAGCAGGTGACCATGAACTGCCCAATGGTGCTGTTCTGAACCTACAGGATGGGTTACTTCTTATGGGCCACAGAAAAGAGCATCTCACACACTGCTCTTGAAGGAACTCAAGGAGGATAGTAATCCTCCAACCATTTTTCTGCAAAACAAATGAGAAAGAGTATCTGCTTATAGGAAAAGCCGTATGCTCAACCATCCAGCCCATCACACATGCAGAAACTGATCAGAGGGCCCAGGGCCATACGCATGAGCTGAAATTATATGCCAACTAGAAATCAGATCATATACACTCCCATGCTCGTCACAGGGATACCTCTTGTGACGGCAACGGATGCCTCTAGGAACGTCTGACACTGGAAAGGAAACCCTCCAATACGAGGGGGTTCCATATGCTACACTGTACTGGACATGACATATGAGTGAGAAGAGTTGGCATGCTCAAGTAGCTCCTTGTGGTGATAAAGAACAAGTAGATTGGCCCTAATTCACTGGAGATGGGAAAAGGATGGTTAAATTATGCAAACAGATGTTCCCAATCCCATAACCTTCTAAACAAGCCGCTGAAGTACTTTGGAATAAATCCTATATTTTTAAACATGGTTTGGTTTTCAGCACCAAAGTGGAACTGCAGCCAAATTACAAAAAATTCTACAGGATAGCTATATCTATTTTACGGGGTGGTGAGTTGTTTTTTAAAGCTCCCCTCTAAAAGGGTAAATGCAACAGGGCTTCTCCTCAGACCTGATCACAGAGTATTTTGAGAGATAATGTGGTTCCCTCAAACTGCACTGATCTGCTAAGAGTAACACGCAATTCATCTTCAGAAATACAAACAGTCATAAACAAGACATGGCAATAATTTTTCCTGACATTGCACCATTTTTATGAAGCCCTATTCCTGTATACCAGATCACCCCTATCAACCAGTTCTTGAATCACAAACTTAAGGATTGTATTTCTCGATTTTGGGTAAAATTCACCAGTCATGATGGAGGTGACAGTAATGGGGTTCTTTCCTTATTTGGAAAAGCCCAATATCTGGAGGGTGCCCACTATCTTTCCTCCCCATCCCACCCACGGGCCAGCGAACACTTAACTCTCATGTGTGTCTTCATCTCTTTTATAGAGCTGTAAGTCGTCGTGTTGTTTACTGCAACTCTTGAGAGTCAAGTGTCTGAAAAACAATCTACAATAGCTTGATCTACATTACGAATATCTTTTTTAAAAAAAGCTTTGTTGGCAAGTGAGCACGTTTGTGATACACTAAAAGTCTGAAACCCGGAGGCAAGTAAAATATTCAACATCAGCTTCAGTTATGGTTTTAAAGCAAGTCTTATCTTTCTTCAACACAGTTTGATCAATCTACATAATAATGACTAATCCAATACCAAGCCTCAGTTCTTCTCACCTTCTCTCCTATGAGAAATTTCACTGACTGTTAATTCTAAGGCCCAGCAGAGTAGAAACGAATTTATCCACCAACTTTGTACATCTCTGCCCCTTGTTTATAATCTGTCTTTCTCTGTGTCTCTGGGACTGCATGAAGACAGGACAAAAGTCCTTGGAATTTTAAAGTGAAGGGTTTCCAGGACGTTTCATGCCTATCTACTGAACAGACTGAGTGCTGCAAGTGTCTTTGAAAAGAGTAAAGTTTGGGGATTTATTTGGACAAAAGTTCTGAAGACTGCAGCCTGAAATTTAAGGTGCAATCCTAAACTGGCTGGGAGATGCTGGGAATTACAGGCTTTTCTTCCGTCTATACTTGCATAGGATTGCACCCCAAGTCTATTTGCTATGCTCCATCCCTCCACTCCACAAATACTATCAATGAAAAGTACACTCTCCAAAAGAAAGGGAAATAAAAAAATAAATTAACACACACATGTACAAAGTTCCCTGCGGACAATAAATAAATGTGCACAAGTGTAGCTTTGATTACTTCGAAGTAACAAGAGGGAGGTTGGCTGAACCAACAAAGCTAAACTGAAACCTCCTGACTGCTCACAAGGGTGCAGCACTGTCCAGGCGGACTTCAGTGGTACAAAGCCTTTAGATCTTTCCATCATGTGAATTCCAGTATGACAGGCCAGCAAAGGAAAATACAGTATTTAAGAAGATGCAAACTGGCTGCTAGTTTCATGCCATTTGCAACTCAAGTCAATTTTGTTGCTGCTGCTGTGGCTGCTGTTTAGTTGCTCTGCTCTCAAATCCCTCTTTGAAACTTTGGAAAATCATGCCCTTTTAATGAAAAGGCAGCAAAGCGAAAGTTTGGTGGCTACCAAAAAAACAAAAACATCATACAAAATCAAGCAGCCCCTAAAGCTTAAGGTGTTCAGGCAATCCTGAATCAAGACAAGTGACCAAATTTACAAGTAATCCAAAGTTAAAAGTCCCTTTCCGTATAAGATAGAAGTAACTTCTATTTACTGTAACATGCAAATTTATAATATATGATATATAGAGAATATAGTGAAATGCTAATGCCTAGAATATAACCATCTACCCAGCTAGTCTCTGCCTTACCTTTGGCATGATTTTTTTTACAGTTTTGCTTGTTTTAAAATCCCCCATTTGAATTGCATGCACCACACGCTGCACACACGTGCCCCACCCAACCCCACGATCCTACACGCTTGAAGAGCAGGTGTCAGGCAGGCAACTGTAAACATTTAGCCACCCAGATTAAAAATAACATTAACAAAGATTTGTTCGAAATTAATACATTAAAAAAATAATTCTAAAATGCAATAAAACTGCATTTTCTCATTTTTTCTTGAAAAGACATCCCGTGCTTCTGAACATTTGAAAAAGCCTTTAACACTTCCCATACCCCACCCTCAGACCCTCCCACCATGGCAATCTACACTTTAATTTGCTGTGAGACTGGAAGACATCCTTCCATGCTAGAAAGTTAGGCAATCTCCTCATAAGAAGCTACTCTTGCTTTCTCCTGAAGTCAAAGGGACTGAGAACAATGCTTTTCAAGAGGCTAATCTTTTTAGGGTGGTTTGCAGTGTTTGGGATCTTTCTGTCCAAAAGAAACAGGATACTCAAGCCATGCCGCTTTCTCGCAAGAGAAAAGATGGCTCTTTTATAGAACAACCATGTCCGCTGAACCTGGAAACTTTCCAATTAAAATCCACAGCAAGTATCAAATCATTTTTCAACCCCTGTCCTTGAAGTACTTAAACCACTCTTCTTTGACACATTCTCCAGCCTTCTTTTCTGCACCTGAAACCTGAAACTGGGTGCATTTGCAACTTAAGAAAAATATCGCCAACCTAGAATTTTGGCCTAAACTGGCACTTGCATAACTTCCATAGTTTTGTTCTGTCCTAGTACTCAGTAAACCACTACACTGCTTTTTCATCTCTCATGCACTTGCAAATATTCAAGCAGATACTTCAGCTCCCATAGAATTATACTGAGTTATCCAAGTGCAAGGCACACTAATTTCCCTGAAGCCTCTGTGACCAGCAGTACAGTGGTGCTTCATACTTAGAACTTAATTGGTTTCAGGAGGCCTTTGGAACTCTGAATAGTTCAAAGTCCAAAGCAATTTTCCTCATTAAAAATAATGGAAAATGAATTAATCTATTCCCAGACCCTACCCAATATCCATTTTGGTAAACATAAACAGCAATACAGCCTCCTGAAATGAATTAAGTCTGAGGTTTTATATAAGGTGTGATCAAAAAATATGGTGAATGTTTAATTTAAAAAAAAAATAGTAAAAGTCACATTGCCATTAATCCCCTTCAAAATACTCCCCCTCCCTTCGAACACACTCACTCACCCCAGTGCTGTTGTGGCTGCCTCAATGTCCTGAATTGATTCAAGACAAATCAATTCAAGTCAAGATGAGGTGAACTGGCACAAGACGAATTGATTCAGGACATCGAGGCTTTTTCTTCGACTGGGATGCACGACCAAAGATGATTTTGCTGCGACTGCATTTTTCCCCACTTCACTCACAGTTTGAACTGTGAAGCGATTTTATCTCATCTCCAATGTTCAAACTCTAGATTGTTCAAAGTTAAGAGTTGTTCGAACTACAAAGCACCACTGTATAATAATTTTGCTGGGAAAGACAGGATGGCAAACTCATATGACTGAGGGAATCCTCTGGAATCTTTCCGCTGCTTATAAGAGAAAATGTGCAGGAAGAATCTCACAGTTGACACTTCCATGCTTTTGAGCTATTTATTTTACAATTTTGTGGGAAAAGCACACCTGGACCTTATTGATTTGTGGCACTAGAGCTGAGGCTGGAAACATGTGGCCCTCCAGAAGTTTTGGGACTTCTACTGCTATCAGCCCATCAATGGCCAGGGATGCTGAAAGTTGTCATCCAAACATCTGGAAGGACACAGGCTCCAATCTCTGATGCTAGAGATATAGAATTGTAATTCTGAGCTGAAAAGTTAGCAGTGTAAGGCTGAAGCTAACCTTGCTGAACACTAAGAGTATTGGTTGTTTTAAGCAATCTTCAATAATGGGTGGAACCCATAAATCCCAAGTTTACAAGATGTAACACAACAGATGCACAACAGGCATCAACTTGCACTAAGTTTTTTTTAAATCAAATATTAAGATTGGCAGTTAATAATGAGCACTTATTCATAGAAACCGATACTTTTGGAACTTTGACTCCTAATGAGACCACTTATTCAAAAAGCAACAAAATCTCTACAAATTCTGAGGCACAAGGGCAAAAAACAATCCAGCAACCATCTTTAAAGAGAAACATATCTCTTAATTTGCAAAGCAAATCCCATGATTTGCACTAGAAGACTGAATTAACAATACTGTATAATTAGATACCTCTCAGCCTTTTGCCACCTGATTCTGATTGTTAGGGGCCTAACAAGCAGCTAGATATCACCAGTGGCCTGGTACATCTCTAATTCGGAATGGCAAACTGATAATAAAAGAGTATGATGAATTTTGTGCTCTAAAAACCAAACTACTCCTTTTCTGACAAGTAGATTCACTGCTTGTCCCACTACAAAGATCCTCTGGTCTCTTTAGAGGAATGACGGTGCAAGCTGTCCTATCACATATCACCTGTTCTCTGCCAGTTAGTATGTTTACTTTGCTCAACTACATTTAATAGTGTAGCAAGATAGAAAGATAAGCTTCTGAGCCCAACACGCTACTAGGACAAGGCTATTCAACTGCTTCCTGGGAGACTACATTTATCAACCACCTATGTTCCTTTCCCCCTACCTTTTATACTTCCCCATACTCTCTGCACTTTATTCCAATGTTTAGTTTTCATCACCACTCATTTCATGCAGCCCAGAGCTGCTCCCATCTTGCACATGCTGTTCTTCAACCTGAATTTGGAACCCCACTTTCCATTCCTTAATATCTCTCTGCAACGTACCTTCTCCAACATTCTCTATCCTGGGTGTTTCATTTCTCCTATCAAAAGAAGTATGCAAAAAACTCTAAACTTCGGGAAATTGCACTTGACCTCCCAAGATGAATTCCCCCTTAGCTTCTCTATTTCTTAGTGCAATGATTCTGGTTAGCTTGAAGCACAGCTCTCCTGTTATGTCTACAATTAAAAGTGTGGTTTAGTATTTGTTTACTAATCAAAACTGCAATCAATAAATATTTTAAAATCCTGATTAGCAAGCTAATATTAAACCACAGTTCCCCATTTTAAATATAACAGAGAGCTGTGGTTTAAGCTAACTAGGATCAGAGAGGGGAGGGCATGTGACCCAATCTGTGTTCCTGGCTTTCAAAATGGCAGTTTAGCAAATCATGAAGGCATCTGAAATTATTTTCCAGTTTTTCTTAATATCCTGTGGGTTTTTAAGATATTTGAATAAGCACACCTCAAGTTCACACATGAGATGTATACAAAAAAATCTCGTTAAAAGAATTCATCTTAGAAGCTAAGTTTCTCTCTAGTAAGCTTCCTAGCATTCTCCTGCCTTTTCTTAGTCAACTTTTTCTTGCTTCACTGCTCATCCTGTTTCATCTCCATATAACATTCATTCCTTGTTTCAAAATAGTTTTTCTCCTTCTTAAACCAAAACCTTCTGTATCAGCTCCATTTTCACCATGTCTTCTCCCACACACTAGGTCTCTCTCTTTTCATATAGTACACTTCATACAGTTTCCTTCCCAGCACAAATTCATCTGTCAACCCTGTGCGTAACAGAAATGATGAACAATCGTGTCCACGATCACCACTGCAGTTGGGCAGTACAGGAAAGGAAGTACTACACTATGCCACAGCCACCTGTATCAAAGTCTCCATCTTACATAAACAGAGCACTCCTTCTTTAGGATATCTGGAAACATGTATTCTTTGTTCACTTTTCAGGATTTTAAAAATGCTGTAAACAGCCATATTGCACTCAGCTGCTGCCCACATACTCCCTTTGAATGCCTTTCCTGGTCCTGCTGTCTGACTTATGGCAAACTGTTTCTCACACCCAAGCACGATAACTGTGCATGGATTATGCTGACACTGCTCCCCGCTTCACTGATGCTGGCATTGACCAGGCCTTAAGTTAGTTCTTTCACCGATTCAATACAAGAGCTCCTCTTGGAAATGGCCAGAACATACAGATTATGTTATCACAGAACGTAGTTTTAGGCAGATATCCCTGAATCACTGACATCCCCTTTTCAAATCATCCCAAACACTGCAGGCCCTTACTTCAAACTTTTGTGAAATGTTGGAATTGGGGGGGGGGGGTTCAGGTCTATAAAACAGATCTATTCGTGTGGCATCCCTAATACGACTCTCAGCATAATACCTGAAAACACAGTGCATCATTGCAGCGAGGCTCTGCCACAGTGAGCCTTTTCTTACCATGCCATTAATTTAAAAACTAACTGAAAAGTCCAGAGGAGTAGGGAAGAGTGCAAAGAATACAGTATCTAAACCTTTGCTAGCAGGAGAAAGCAAGAGTAAGCCTCACCTTCAGGTGAACATGCAAAGCTTCAAGCTTGTGTGTTAGCCTCTGGACCACCTGTAAAGCTACCAAATTTTACTGGGAGATTGACTGAAGAAGAAACCAGGACTCATTCTCTGGCCATCTCTCATTCTAAAAGCTGCTGGTGACAATGGCTGCTCCAAAAGATGACATTACAACTTCAGAGACGCAGACAACTTGGCTCCTATGGCATGCCCCTATCAAACTGAGAATGCCTGTCAGTTCAAGAGGCACCTCGAAATTAGAGGTGACTGGATCCTGTTCCTCAAGTCTTCTTATCCTTTAGAAAATGCTAGAAGAAAAGAAGTTCTATTGTGAAATGGAACAGAACTAAGCTGGGTGCTCACCCTTCTTTGTCCTCTAAGCCTTCTGTGTTGTTTGGATACCCACTTCTGAGAATCCACACAGTTTGGACGTTCAGACAGACAGTGCAGATTCTAGTCCATGATCTTGGAGGACCAAACTGGCTATTCCTCAACTGGAAATACACAACTGACACCAGTTAAGAATCTAGCCCAGTAAGTCTACAAGAGATCAGAGGGTATATATTTATTACCATCTAGTCATTTTGTTTTGTTTTGTTTTAGATCACCCCTATGTCACAGCATTAAGAGATCATTTGGGCTGAATCTTTTTAAAAATGGCTTTCTTGATGCCAGGATCATCGTTAAGTTCTGCTTTTTCTTTTCTTAAGTACTTGAAGAAAATGAACAAGCATTTATCCTAGCACCAAACTCACACTTTGGTAAATAAAACACCACTGACAAAACTTTGTTCGCATTCAAAACAAAAGAATAGGAACCCCTGAGATCAAAAAAGAATTGAAGAGGGAAAAACAACCACTTTAACCGAGCTACTCTTGGGTGAGAATAGTCTTCAACCTTCCCTTTCCTGTCCCCCCAGCCCTAAGAAAAAAAGGAAACCAAGACAACAGCAATAGCTAAGCTCAGAATCTAAAGCAGCAGCTGACTCACCTATCCCCAGCCCCATTCCCCCTCAGCAAATACAAACCCATGAACACAAACAAAAACAAAACAGAAAGAACACGTAATAACACAAGAAGTGGTGAACGGGTGCAGCAGGCAGCCCGAAGAACCAGAAGTCCAAACTTAATAAATAAGTGGTAAAAAAAATATCTTTTCTTTTTCCTTTTGTGTGTTTTGTGTCTGTTCACAGTGCGTGAGCAGGGGTTGCTCCAGTCCCCAGTCACGGTGGAGAGAGACAAGCAGGGAGCACACAGTAACTGGGTGGCAGCTCCTGGTGGCAGATGCTCAACACAGAGCATACAAGCACAGGCTGGAAAAGGCCAGAGCCCCGTATCCTTGGGCTGTCCAGGGCCTGAGAGGCAAAAGACTCTGAAATGCACCCAAAATTCCAGAAATGCCAGACCACCACGCCATCTCTTCGTAGTACTGAAGAAGATGAAATGGGCAAGGGTGAGGAGCAGGTGAAGCAAACCATTCAAGCCACTGAAGAGTTGCTTTTGTGAAGACAGGTGCCTGTTGTGGTGTTCTTGCTTGCCCCTCCTTGTGAGCTCTGGCTGCCAAGGGGCCCTTTCCCCGGCACAACAGCCACACTACACAGCTACCTGGTGAAGAATGGCAGGTGATGTTGACTGAGAATGCTGCTCGTGCGGGGGGACTCTGTCTTAGCCATGACATCCTTGAACCAGGAGGCCACATCCACTTCCAGTGTCTCGTAACGCTTGATGAAGTTGTGTTCCTGTACAAGAACAGGCAAAGTAAGAAGGAAGAGAAATGATCTAGTAAGGAAGTTCACCTCTCCTGCCCGCTCTACAAGGCTTTGAGTGACTTTTGACAGCTATACCTAAATGGAGAGAGGGTGCACAACAGTGCTGAACGTACATGAGAAAAACAATGATTGAAGCAAAGCAAAGTATATTGTGAACCCATTTCTCGCCTTCTAGCAGATCAAGGCAAAAGACTTCTAAAATACTATCCTTTATTAGGCTAGGCTGGCTTTGCAACCCAAGTAATAATGAAATTGTTATCAAGCAGCATCTATTGAAGTAGTGATCTCTCTGATAGGTGTAGTTTACTCTCACCCATGTCAGGAATTGATTCCAAACCGAATTCCCCTCCTCCCTTCCCCTCTGAAAGAAGCTTATTTCACCCTCAGGGAGGTGTGTACTGCTTGGGGGCCAGAAGGTGGGAACACTAAATATTACTTAATTGGTTTGCTTGTTTGGCTTGAAGAACCACTGTACTGATGAACTCAGAGACCTCCTCCTCTGACCCTCCTTGTTCTATAGTATCTTGCCCCAAACCAGAGGCTGTCTGGTTCTCACCAGCCTCCTGTCTAATCTTATGCATTAACCAAACATTTCAGTAACCCAGGCCAATCCCTTCTCTTCTTCTTCTAGTTCACTTTCAGAGTCTGAGAATTCTTACTTAGAACACTGCATTTTGAGAGAAATGGGCCTGATCTTTATATAAAGAAGAAGCAAGTACAACTTCCCTTTGCTTTAAGAAACTATGTGTAGGTAAATAAGGAGACTACTTTATTCCTTCCAGTCTCTTGGTTACTTCCTGGAAAGCTTACTTCCAAAGTTTAAAGACAAGCAGAAGCACCTGCTGTAGCTTTTTCCAAATTCTAATATTCTCAATGAAGAGACGCTTGTAATACTTACAAGTAGCTTGTTGTACTTTGGTCTCTTCCTGTGATCTTTAGTAAGGCTAGAAAGAGAGAAACACACATTCAAACCACAGGTGGATGCTGCTGATCCCTGAAAGGGAATCCAGAATTAGGAAGCTATCCCCATGACAGATCTCTATTACTTGAAACATGATGCATCATTATAAACAGAACCATATAGTAGCCTCAGTTTTACTCTACCTTTAAAACTTTGTGAGCTAGTAAGATGAAGTCCAACATATTCCCAGAGCAACAGTTTATGAAGGACTATTCTCTACTCCCAATATCCCATAAGAGCTTGCACTAACATTGCTGTGTGTGTGTGTGTGTGGGGGGGGTACTCAAGGAGAAAAGGCAGGTGGCTGACAGACCCAATATGAGATGGACTGATTCCATGAAGGAGGCCACATACTTCTGTTTATAAGAGCTAAGCAGTGCTGTGGAGGCCAGGGCATTTTGAAGGGCATTCAGTCAAACAGTTGCCACAAGTCAGTGCAGACTTGATGGCATATAGCAGCACAAATTTTAACACAAAACTGCTGTTGTTGTTAGTCGCAAAGTCATGCCCGACCCACCACGACCCCATGGACAACATTCCTCCAGGCTCTCCTGGCCTCCAACATCCCTCGGAGTCCACCCAAGCTCACACCCACTGCCCCAGCGACTCCATCTAGCCACCTCATCCTCTGCCGTCCCCCTCTCCTTTTGCCGTCAATTGTTCCCAGCATCAGGGCAACACAAAATAACCATCCTCAACACTGGACCTACCACTAGCCAATCTGCATAATTATACACGGCAGCTGTATGAAACTTACTTGTTCAACTGACAATATAGCTGACTCCTCCTTTGCATGAGTGGAAATGCAGGGCAGATAGAAGATCATAACCAACTTCCTGCCCTAGTTCCTGCACTTATGACAAGTTGGTTTCCATTTTCAAAACAGTGAAGAACTCTCCCCCACATTTTGCTAAAATCAGCTAAGAAGCTCAGCAGGAGTTAAAGCATAGAGACAGAGAAAAGCAAGGGACAGAAGCCAGGTGCATTGACAGAAGACGAGGCACTATACATCAGTGGACTGGGCCAGAGTCTGTGCAGCGCCAGGCTGAAGGCAGAAATGGGATTTCTCTTCTGGGGAACTACTAGTAGCATAGATTGAATGCTTTCTTTTGCAAGAGCATATTACCCATTTGGACAAGCAGAAGAATCCTAAAGCTCTTAGATGAACCATTAACTGCAGAGACAGAACTGCTCCAGAACTGTCATTAGTCAATGTTTGAGGGAGCAGCTGATGAGCATGGACAGAGTAGGAAAGTGAGAGATCAGTAGGAGTTGAAGGACTGCACTAGTTATGTAAGAGATTGTTGCCTGCTAGTTCTGAACACCCACTGAACATGTATTTGAGAAGTTTACTCACCAGTCTTTCACAAAGGACTGGAAATCCACAGAAAATCCCATGTTGCTTGGGAGAAGGGGGGGATCTTCCTGCAACACCTTGGTGAGGACCTCAAAATCAGTTTTGCAGTTCTTATAAGGAAACTGACCTGTAGCCAGCTCAACCTGCATTGGGGATGGGAGTAAGTATTTTAATAAGCCAGACAATCAGTTCATCTCTTCCTGATAATAGTGGAAAAAGAAAGGGAAAGGCCATCTTTGCCTCAAAAACTAGACAGGAGAAACCTTCAGTATTTCCACAGTTATGGATGAAAAATGTAGAATAGTTATTGCTTGGCTTGTCCAGCCTAAACAGCACACACCAAAGTGAAATTGAAAATTCTTTAGTCCTATAGAAAAGCTGTATCTGCTGCCCTCACTCTATATGAGGAGTGGGCCCATGGGTTCAGTTGCCACTCAAAATATACTCCAAGGCTACAAGCCAATAGTGGTCACGGGCACCTCAACCTCCATACACACACACCCTTCCCACAACCCTGTTCTCAGCTGGTCCATGCAGATCACTTCAGGAGGTGGATATTCTCAGCTTCCTTTCTCAGCACGGAGCAGGGAAAAGCTTTCATGCATCAGCAGCTGATCAGAGGTAAGAATTTTTCTCTGCTTGGGGAGAGGAGAAGTGGCCTGGGAAGAGGCTAGCAGACTAGATGGGGAAAACCCCATGCCTGGTATCTGTAAAAGCCTGCTTAGGGCATGATCCAGAACCAGATGGTCCCAGTAAGGGATCATTAGGATAATCAACATTTCCTTAAATCTCAAGGACATATGCATCCATGCAGGTCAAACAGAAGGCCTTTGAATGCTGCATGTGCCCCTAAGTGCTCAGGTTGCCCAAATATGTACCTTAAATGTGTGTGTGTGTGTGTGTGGAGGGGTCCTACTTACCAGAGAGATGCCCAGGCTCCACACATCTGCACGAATATCATAATCTGGTTTTGAGGGATCAGGAGGATCTATTCTTTCAGGCTAAAAACAAAGTATCTATTACAAACTCAGGCAAAATAGTATCTCTAATTACAGAAACCAAAACATGCTGCTCAGATAAAAATCTCATCTATTTAAAAGCATTTCTTCTTTAGTCCACATTTTAAGCTCTCTTTAAGATTGCCACCTTCAATAAAGTTGTACGTAATATAAATGCAAAACAATGAACATGAATAAAAATGGTAATTACAAATAAAACCCAAAGTCCAAAGCTACATTTAGGAAAAGGCAAACAAGAAATGGGACTAGAGAACTTTCCTGAAAGCCAGAAAAGAGGGGATCTCATAACACCACGGGCCCCTCCCCGGGCCCTCTTCTGCTGTTGGGACAGCAACTGCATAACAGTTCAGCACAACTGCAGAAAAAGTAGGCCAGATTTTAGAGATAACTGGCTATGGTATAATATGCAAGCGCATTAAGTTTCAGACCCAGAGAATGATTTCAGGCACACCACTGAAGTGAAGCATGTTTGGCCCAGAGCACTGCTTTAATGGAAATCATATGATGAAGAATTTGGAGGAAGCGTGGGTTAAGAGTGGAACAAATTACTTAATGCAATCATATCGCAGTAAAATCCTGGTGGGATTCCCTAACTCACTCTCCGACACTTACCGCCATGTATGCTGCACAACCAGCACTCCGGGTTTTGGCTTTTGAGTCCACCAGCCTGCCGCTGATCCCAAAGTCACACAGTTTGATTTGTCCTCTCTCATCCAACAAGATATTAGAAGGCTTCACATCTCTATGGATGACCCCATGCTTCTCTTTCAGATAGTAGAGTGCTTTGACAATCTGAAAGCAACACATCAGAAAGAAAATGTTGAAGAAATTACTAAATGCTCACTATAAGCAAAGCAACTATGTATGTAAAAAACAAACATTATTCCCTCACTCCTAGACTTACATGGTATTTGGAACAGCAATTTTTATTATACAATTTCATACATATAAAACAGCACAAGCCTGTGGAGACAGCACCACAGCTTAGTGTTAGACCTTTGGCCACATAGATTACAAAGTCGCTTTCAGAGATACGACTAAAAGGACAGATATATTTGTGCTCAATGCTCTTAGTATTTCTTCTTAGAAGGATGGATCTAACAAACAACCTGATGAAAATGAAGTCTCTTAGCTTTTGCAGCTTTAGTGGCTCTGACAACACTCCAATAACTTCAACTGGAGGCAGGATTTGATCACATCATTTTGCAGTGTTCAAAACAGTGTATGCATTGGAAGTCAGCCACTTGTGTGTAGAATAGTTATCAAAATCAGAGATCATAAAGTAGCTCAAAGTTGCAAGCAGTTGACCCTGATACTCCAGTGAGTTTTTCACATCTCAGACATCTTCCATGTTCTGAGATCTAATTATGACCACAGGGGACCATTTCCTCTCTTGATTGTGCAAAGGCATGCAAAATCTTTGCTTGCTTTTAAGATTCTGGCTACAAAATTGATTTCAGACACTCACTGCCACAGTCATCTTTCCCAGGATCCTCTCAGGAATAGGCCCCTGAATGCGTTTTTTCAGTTTTTCTGCACAGGTGCCCATTAGCTCCATGGCTATAAAAACATCCGTCTATCAGAATGAAGAGGAAAACAAAAGCAGAGGTTAGAGTTATTATAGTTAAGTTAATGTATTTAAAAATAGAGAAAAGCTAATGAAAATGCCAGAACTGGGTTTACTCACATTTGTAATGAATGTCCCAAAGCACTGAACAATGTAGGGACAGTCATGACTCTTTAGCACCACATCCAGGTCCATCAAAATCCTCTTGTTCTCTTCTTTGTTACCAGAACGACGCATTTGCTGAGCAGAGGGGAGTAGATGGGGCATATGTCAGCAGCAGGAAAGGAATTGTGGAAGGCAACACTTCACCTGAGATCTGTGTTTTTCATCCATGTTTACTGAAAACCACTTCACCCCATTCAATTCCACCCCATTTCTCTCTACAGTCGAACGAAGTAAACCATTTATGCTCCCCAAAGTTTCCCCTGATCACCAGTGAATCCCAGTAGGATCCCACTCTGCTAATCCTTCTATTGCTTTTTATGATGCCTAGCATACCTACACCTCAACATTCACGTAGATCTGCCTCACCTTCACAGCTATGATGTGTCCTGTCTTCTTGAAACGCATTTTCCACACCTGTCCACATGTCCCACTTCCAATCTCACCCAGATTTTCTAGGTCATTGATTTCCGCTTGATACCTCTGTGAGAAGAGGAACACACACAGTTCAGAGGAAAATACAAAATGTATTGATCAATCAACTGCATATGAAAAAGGAGACACACCTTCAACATTTAGTGCAGTCAACTTTTGATCCATCAGAATACACAGTATCTAAACCTCTCATCTCTGTTAAATCTGCTCCAAATTATTAAGCCTGTCATACAAATACAAGGGTTCTTCAAAAAGTTGCTGTGCTTTTTTAAACTCTGTTTATTAAGAATTTCAAAAACAAATTATATCACTTTTCTACATAGTCATTTTCCTTTGTGATACATTTTTCCCAGCATCATGCCAACTTTTTAATATCAGTGAAAAAATATATAAAATTTATTTATAAAATATAAAATGCGGAAACTTTTTGAAGACCCCTTGTACAATGCAAGGCTTCAAACTACCTCAAAGGTTTGATATGGATGCAAAATTGTGAACAAAGGCAGGGCAATTCTACTGAAAGGCATCCTTCTAACTTAGCTCCTCTGCTTTCACTTGCACTACAGAATGAAAAAAGCAAAAATATATGTCCTACAACCTTACAAAGCAAGCTGTACCATATTAGATCTAGACCAATGGGCTATTCAGCCTCCCACCATGCTGCTTAATACCCCTAAGGTCACCTGCCTTACAGGTTTAGGTCAGTGTGTCTGTATCTATAAAATCCTCAATCAAGCCTGCTCACCTGCCCTCCAATGGTTAAATAACCTGTTTGCTTCATGATTTCCTGTAGTTTTTGATCAATCTCTATACTAGAAAAGGAAGAAAAAGAAAAGAAACATAAGAGTGGCTTCCATCTGTGACATATCAATATCTTAAAACATTATTTCCTGCAAAAGCAAATACCATAAAGAACTACAAGCTCCTGTTCTCAACAAGGACATCAAGCCAATCCTATAACATGTTTTTTTAAAAAGATGTGACTTCAAAGCTAGAAAATTTTGACAGTTGGTCAAAGGCCATCTATTATCATCAAATACATTAAAAGCCCCCTCTTCCCAGGTGTAAATAAGATTCATGTAGGCTAAATCACACATTTTATTACCTAATGGTTCCAAAGTAAGCAGCATTATTGTCTGCCAAATGCCAGGGCCAATATGATTAAAATTGCTACTGCTGCATACTGGTACATATGCTATATATCACTCATTAAATAGGCGTAATTAACACATTTGTTCATGAACAGGAGGCATAAAACATTTTATGGCCCAATACAGAGATTGCATTGCATTCAAAAATGCCCTTCAAGTAAGCTAAGAAATAAAAGGACCACATCTCTGGTATGAATCATGAGCCCATTTTGAAAGCTCTACCACTTACATCAAGCAAGCCGCTAGGGGCCTTTGAATTCAAGCTTTCATACAAGCCTTCAAGTCTCAGGAGAAGCAGCTTTTAGACTGTGGCAACAGTAACCATGGTTGATGGCAAATGAACACTATGCCTCTCAACATGCTCCTATCCAAAGCTACGTAGGCACACAAGGTTTCCTTGCACTATGCACTGTGCACACATTTGTCAGAACAGCTGAGGTTCACTGCTATGCATACTAGGGCTATCAGCAGATCAGAGATTAAGCAACAGAACTGCTTTTCTTTCGCAAATAAAGCTGACAACTCCTAGTTTGAATACAAAGATGCAGGAGGTAAGCACAATATCTGCATGACTGAAGTCCCAAAACAACGGGGTAAATGAGACATGGGACTTCTGCACCTAAGAACATAAGAAGAGCTGTGATGGATTAGGACCTCTCTAGTTTAGCGCGCTGTTTGCCCACAGTGGCCCACCAGCTGCCTGTGGGAAGCCTACAAGGGGGATAGAAGAACAGCAGCACACTCCGACTCATCTTCCCCAGCAACTGGCATACACTGACATGTTCTCTTTGATAGCCTTACACTCTCTGGCTGGGTTCACACAGCACTGATAGACAGATAGATAGATGAGAGATTGATAGAATGGTTGATTGACTGATCGACTGATATGAGAGAGAGAGAGAGAGATCCCACTCTGCCATTGTTTACCTCAATGTGCTAACACACAACCAGACCAACCATGACCATTCTCCTGCCTCCTGTCATCTCCTTCCCTCTTCAGTGGTATCCTGAGAGGCACCCTGGAGGAGGAAGGAGGCTCCTCTCTTGGACAGGCATGACTGCAAGCTGTGTGCTGCATTGGTCAATCTGTCTCCATTGCATGAAGAGGGCTTGTGCCCCGGAGCACAACAAAGAGGATGAGGAGCTGAGCAGTCACCCTCTCCTTCTGTTCAGAGGGGACTTCTGGAACAGGAGGGGAGGATGCCTGATCCATGCTCAGGGAAAAGCGGCATGGGGGGGGGGGGGGGGGACCTGCTGAAAGGCAGCAGCGCTGTGCCAAAGGGTAGCACTGCTCAAGTGATTCCTCTCTGCCTCTTCTGCATGCCCCAGAGGGAAGCCCCTCAAGCAGGGAGCAGGAGGGGCAAGAATCAGCTGGATGGTGGTGCCCAGATGGTGGCAGCACTGCTCAGCTAATTCCATGCTCTCCCCACTTTCTTGCTGCTGCTTACCAAAGAGGCACCCCAACCTGCTGCCCACCCAAGTGCTTTTCTGGCATGTGACCATTACAAATAGGGAGGCAGTGTTTGCGGCTTGCCAGAGGGTTAGAGAAGCCGCTCTGGCAAGCAGGGAAAAATCTACTGAGGTGCATGGTCACCAGGCAGGCACTGCTATCCAGCTGGTTCTTTTCTCTCTAGTGTGCAGCTGAGGCAACAGAGGGAGAATCAAGGAGGCATGCAGCCCCCAACTATGTGTTGCTGCCCAGCTGATTTCCCCCCCCCCCCCCGCCCCGCACTTGCACACATGAAGACTTGCTCTTTGGCAGGTGAAAGGGGTGGCAGAGGGAGAATCAACTGAGTGGAGATGTTCCTTTCCTAGCAGCAACCAGCTGATTGCCCACTTCGACCCCAAAGGTCTTTTGCGCAGAGGGCAGGAAGAGTGGGGATGACACTGACTGTTGCACAAAACAGCAGCTGTCACTGGAACTCCCTGGCTAACTGTGCAGTAAGAGCAGCAATGGACTACTCTTGCTAAGTGGTCCTATGGTGCTGACCTTGCTACCACAATGAACTGTGTTTTCCAGGTTCAGGCAATACAATAAACCATCATGGTTCCAAGCAACTATAGAACAACTCATTGTTTCTGTTCATGGTTTCTAAAAAACAAGTGTACCATGCTGAAATACTACGATGGGGTTCAGATGTCATATGTCATGTCAAGGTTAGAAAAAAATTGCTTGTCATGCAAGCTACACTGAATCCAGCTATGAATTCATCTAATCCTACATCATATAGATATGATGCTGTGCCTTTCTTGTTGGACTGTCTAGAGACTTTTATGTATAGGACGGGATACAAAAGTTTTAAACAAACAAATAAATAATCCCATCTGAAAACCATCCAAAATAATAGCCATCATTGCATTTGGTGGTACAGATTTCTGCACTTTAACCCTGTGCCATGTGAAGAAGTGCTTCCTTTCAACACACCAGGTTGATTTAGTTCAGCTTTCCCCAGTCTGGTGCCTTCAAGAAGTTTTAAACTAATTTACTCGGACTCTGCTTACCTCTCCATGCTCCGGTGCATGAGGAACGGTGGCTGAGGCAGGCCCAGCATGTTTCGGGGGCGTGATGGGTGAGTGTGATGCTGGGGTGAGTTCTCCAAAGAGGAGGATCGACTGCTGCCATCATTGGCTAAGGGAAGCTGCAATGCTGAGAGGAAAGGAAAAGTCAGGCAAAGAGGAAGCAGCATTTGGACTCCTGGTTTCAAGATGAATCCTTTAGTAAGCTATGCCTTTCTGGACTGAATGTATTGGTGCTGGGGAACCAGCCTATCATGCTTAAGAAAAAAGCCCATTATTATGACTTCTGAAATGTGAGCTTTACTGTTCTGTCCTCCTGGCTGCTTTCAAATCCCTATGCTCCCTCTAGACAGTGAAATCCTCTTCATGGAAACCACAGCTTTCAACTACACCATCACAGAGATGGCCCTACCAACACAGAATACTGATCTTCCCCACAATGCTACAAAGGTGACCAGACCTAGTGTGAACTGAAAAGCTTAGCAACAACTGAAGTCATGACTATTGTATTATGTTCCCATCTCTTCCTCCTTTAGAAAAGAATGGACTCTGTGGACACTGATGAACTTTCATTAAAGATAATTTTAAGGTCTCCCTAAATTTGGATCAATAGCTTACCAATGTATTTGAAAACAAGCTTAATCAGTAATCAATAAATCCAATGTCTGTGGGCCTCATTGTTGTTTTGTGACAACATAGTCACAAAGCAGACTCCAGCACCAATGTCTTTCCCATTGTATTTTGCTCATGGATTGAATAGTCACCATTCTTTAACATGGTCACCTTTCTTTGACACACATACTACCCTGCTGTGGAACTCACTATGGGAATTGTCTTATGAATGGCTTTTCAAGCAAGGCAATGAATGGCTGGAGTATAACAAGCCCTTGTAATACAATGTTCTGGCCATGTAAACAGGTGTTATTGATGTGACAATATACACAGCAAATATTACAGTCGAATCAATTTACTGTTGTCCATGCATGTAGCATTAGCATGTTAGGGATGTGTAGACTGGGAAAGAGCCACACTAGTATATAAACATTTCACAGACTGACACCAGTGACCTGCTTTAGATATAATACCAGCTGCATCGATACTGTATGAGTGAGGACTGCACAAGATTTAAACTGTTACATACATTTTATATTGTATTTAATTGTACATTACAAATTGTTCTGCACAGCTCAGACAGCTCTGAATGCTAGACAGTATAAAAATATAAGCAAACAAATAGTAACTTAAGTGGAATCAGCAGCTTGTAGGGCAAGTTTGATTAAATCCAAGTCTCCTTTAAACAAGAACCAGCTTCTGGCCAGGCATCCACCAGGAGTTGGAACTAGGCAGGAAGCTGTTCTTCTTGCCTGGTTTCTTGACCAAACACATGCCTTAGAACTGGAGAGGAAGAGTTCTGTGAGCTAGAACCAGGAAAATTCTTCCTACCTATCAAGTATTTTTAGACTGAGGTCTCTGTTAAGCTTGAAAAGTGCATGCCAATGGCAACCTTTTATGATAAAATAGGTCTACAACTAAATGAGAGAACCCTTAAGGACGCCTAAAGCTAGATCAGAAAACTGCATTGTTCTGAGAACATTTCAGTCAAGCCAGTATAGGAAGTCACGCTGCACAGATTTTAGAAAAAAATGGTTAGTAGCTGAACAGTTAGATCTAACATCTTTCCAGCATATTCTGTGGTGTTTGATGCAAGCAGATGAGTCTCCATTTCATTTCATTTCTCTACTGCCCAATAGCTGAGGCTCTCTGGGTGGTTAACAAAAGTTAAAATTAAATAAAAGTTTAAAACACACACACAATTTAAGGAACAGTGCCATTGTAGCAATTCCAATTGCTCTAACTTCTGCAATTTAACGAGGTATTAACCCAAAAGAAAAGAAAAAAAGATAAAGTACTTGGAAGATGTAATGCAGTCATCTCTAGACATCTTAACTTGCATCCATTTGACACAGGCTAAGCAATGTATCATTCAGTCAAGCAGAATGCAATGTAAAGGCTATACTGCAACTCATATTCCTGGTGTCTCAGATCAGTTCTAAAAATGGAACAGGACCAACGTCCTTTCAACCATCTAGTAGCAGCCTTACTTGCTTTTATATAAAACAAAGGTCTCAACCAAATACATTTCTTCCTCCACAGAACTTAACAGCAGTGGCCTCCATATCATGACTCTGGCACTGAAATGATAGTTCAACAAGGCATATTAAAGCTATGCCCCTTTTTTCTTTTGATTTTCAGAATGTTTCTACCCCCTCAAAGCTGCAAAGAATTATCTGGCAATAAATACCAATAGTCGTATGTTCCTGCTGCTAGAATGATATTTCTCTTACACCTCCAGGTATCCACACATCCATCTCCTGGTACTTGGGCACAGGAGGTGATTTTTGGCAGCAACTGTAGTTCAAAAGAGTTTCTGTAAAAAAAATGCTTAGCAAATTGCCTTATTCTCCATGACTGAGTATCCCCAGGTATTACCAACAAATTACCCATGTTAGCTGTGCATTAACTGGTTGAAATGCATAGCATTATGCTTCTAAAATTCTGTGCTGGATCCAAAGATGTATAAAGAGCTTGTATCACGTAACAGAATTTACCTTCTTTTTCCTTTGATCCTAACCCTTACCAAATTAACAAGCTGCTCTTTTAATTCTCCTCAGCATCAAAACCAATGGGTAAGTTCACAGGTCATAACAACCCACCCTGCAAATAAGCCATTTGTAGTGACCTGTTCATTAAACAACCCACAATGCACCCAACAAATGATTGTGCTCACACTACGCTGTTCCTAAAGGTATGTACCCATCAAGTTTGGCCTTCTTGCTATGACCACCAGACCTTTTGTACTTGGTATGGTTCCTCTCCTCCATTTTTCAGAGCTCAGTTTTCATTCGACTCTGATGTGACAGCCCTTTCAAACCGCCAAAATGACACATTAGAGAGGGACTAGTTGCCCCTTTCTAAGAAAAAGTTTACATTCCAAGTATGCATTTTTTTAAGATTAGGGTCCAAGATCCACTTGTGCACATCCACAGTCCAAAATGGCATGCCTGGCCTGGGTAGTGAGGGTTTCTGGGTAGTAGAGGCCTGTAGGGGGAGCGTAAAGGCATTCCTCACTAACATTGACCCAGAAAGGTTGTCAATAACTTATTTTAGTTCCTCTGAGCAGCTGTCAAAAAGTGAGCTGTGAAAAGAAATCAAAGGTATGAGTGATCTTTGCTTGCAAAAAAGAGGGTAGCCAGTAGATCATCCTCTTCATGATTTTGAGAGGTGGTTTAGATCTGATGTTTGTCAGATTCATCACATACTTCTCGCTTTCCCCAACACTTTAAGTGCTAAGGAATACAGAAAAATGTGAGTTGGCCCATTTCATAGAAGCCTGACGTCTAGCTATTAAAACACCAGTTCATTTTAAAATATGCCTTTTTTCTTTTGACTGGGTTTCCTGTCCCCGCACCCCCAGGACATCTGCAGGCATGAATATACCTTCAAGAGTCTTGTGATCATGGTGGGAAGCATCAGGCCAGTTCCACTTACTCTACCATGTTGCATGGGCATTGACGGGGTGGCTAGCAGTGGTGGTGGCCTGGGATAGCTCAACAAGAGTTGCCACTCTTGCCAAGCACCTTGCTCCCTGCTTTTGAAATAAATGATGGGGCTAGATTCCAATTACACAACAACTCTTCATGTGACCACAACCTTAACAATAAGCCATGGGTTGCTGGATGGAACCCAAGGGAAGCAGTCTGGGATTGGCCTATGAATTATGTGGTAGAGCTGAAAAGAAGATATGAATGAAGACAATAAAGACCTTCCCCTTAACAGTAAGGAGTTTTCATATGCCCACTGAAACAACCTCTTAATTAGCTCCAGTTCTTGAAAACTACTAAATATGAAACTGAAAGTGTTCAACAGTAAACCTACCGAAAGTGACCATACAATGTTAGTGTATATGTCTTAGGCAAGCAACCAGATAATGATAGCAAAACAACTGTATGCAGCTCAACTGATTTCAGCAAACTTTAAAAAAACCAAGCTCCCTTGGCTACTGAACTGAAGAAAATTAATTAAGGAAAGATGGTTATTTCTGGAAAAAATGTCTTACAGGCTTCTGTTCTTACTAAAAGCAAGAGAACTTTCAAGAAGCCACTGTAGTTTTGGGGGTTTTACTGCTTGAAAATAAGCACTTAATAACTGAAAGCCCCCTCCCACCCCCAAAAAGCAAACTTATAAAAAGTAGATGGAAAGGATATGTTTTAACATCATAAAGGGAAAGATGAAACCTGAGTTTAAATGGATGCTATAAATATTACATAGTAAGACCTGTTACTGTTACCTCTAAAGATGTGCAACAATAAAAAGAACACATCCCTTATGAAATGCTTATAGCAACTGTTGCTAGGGTCAGATATGTGAGCAAAGCAGTAGAAGAATCTAAATGGTGTTTTAGCCAATTATAAATTCTGAAATAGATAGATAGGCTCTGACTAGCTAAATGATCATTAATTTCAAAGTCATGCCCTTGCTCACACAAAGAGTCAATGTGGTTAAACCTGTATCTGAACAGTATCACTTCAGACTGAAGGTAGGGGCTCACAACAGAATATTCTTTCACAGGAAAGAAAAATCCACAATACAGGTACTAATAGTACCTACAGAAAAAGTCTTGACCTGAATCCTTTTTCCTGGCATGAAATTTTCTCTATGGAGGGCTGTTATTTTAACAGTGGAGCATTTAATCATATTAGCCCTCACTTCAAATCTAAAGTGGTACAGTCCAGATACAAATTTAGCATTACATGGTGTTTTGTGAGAATCAGCCCCATATTTCACAAAGCTAATAATCCTGAAAATTCTTATCATACCACAAAACAACTACAAGAGCTCATTAGAAGTGCAGAGCAGAATGCAAAGTAAGGTTGGGCCAGTCAATAGCACAGACTAAATATCAGATGTGCTCCTGTTCTGTAAGGTCTTTCCACCTGGAAAGGATGAAGAATAGTTACTTATATACTCATTTCAGAACATAAACATAATTCAGAAGAGTTACAAATGTGATTACCGCAAAAAAGGTGTCTATGTCCCTTGATGACAAGGGAAGCTATATGCCAAACTGGA